GGCACTTAGGTTGTTTCCAACTCCTTGCTATTGTGAACAAAGCTGCAATGAACATGGGTGTGCATATATCTGCTTGGATGTCAGCTATGGTTCTGTTGTGTTAGAACTACAAAGACATTCAAATTTTTAAGGCTAACTCCATATCTAGGCTCTCCTCAAAAAAAGAAAAGTCTGCTACAAATTGGGTTATCCAATCTCCATGCTGTACCAAAAGGAATTGACTGACAGAATAATTTCATGAAAGAATGGAAGAGCAAGAGCCTGTGGTGATAAAGGAAGAAGTTCAAGCTGATCTGAAGGAACTTTTGCCAGGAATTGACCGCATAGCAACTGATATATTTCAACAAACAGATGCTGCCCTGGATGTGCTCACCAAGTCGTGTCAAGAAATCTGGAGAACAGAGATCCATATTTGTTCCCATTCCAAAGAAAGGTGACATGACAGAATGCAGAAATTATCGAACAGTATCATTAATATCACATGTAAGCAATTTTCTGCTGAAAATGAACCAAAAATGACTGCCAGATGTGCAGGCTGGGTTTAAAAGAGGCCATGGCACTAGTTAATGTTAGAAGGATCTTGGCTGAAAGCAGAGAGTATCAGAGGAATGTCTATGCTTCGTTGACTATGCAAAGGGATTTGACTTGTTCAAAACTGGTAAGGATGTACATAATTGATGTGTCCTATCACCAAACCTTTTCAATCTATATATAGAAAAGATCACCTGGGCTCAATGAGGGGGAATATGGCATCAAGAATGGAAGAAGACTCATCAACAGCCTACATTATGCAGATGACACTATCTTGCTTGCTGAAATTGAGGAGGACCTGAAGCGCTAGCTGCAGAAAGTCAAGAACTGCAGTCTAAAATATGGATTGAAGCGCAACATCAAGAAAACAAAGATTCTCACCACTGGACCAAATGGCAGCATCATAGTAGATGGTGAAGAAACTGAGATTGCTAACAACTTCAGTTTGCTTGGCTCCACAATCAACACTCTTGATACCAGCAGCCAGGAAATCAAAAGACGAATTGCACTGGGAAAGTCAGCTGTCAGGGACCTCTCCAGAGTACTAAAGAGCAATGATGTCAATCTGGAGACTAATGTGCGCCTGAGCCAATGATTAGAATGATAGAAGAATTGATGCCTTTGAGCTGTGGTGCTGGAAGAGAGTACTGAATATACCATGGACTGCAAGGAGAACAAACAGGTTCATCCTGGAGAGGGTGAAACTAGAAACTAGGTTGCTCCTTGGAGGCAAGGATACTGTAGCTTTTGTCTGACATACTTTGGGTGTGCTGCAAAGAGGGACACCAGCCCTTGGAGAGGGACATCATGGTTGTGAAGGTGGAAGGACAGTGCAAAAAAGGAAGCCCCTGGAAGAGATGGATTTACTCAGTGACTGGGGTAATGGTGTGTCAGAGACGATTAAGGTTGGTTCGGCATAGAGCAGAGTTCAGAGTTGCTCACTATAAAGTCAGACACACGGTCGCTATGAGTTTCAAGTGACTCGATGGCACGTAACAACAACAACAACAACAACAATAATGTCCATAGATGTTGTACCACAGGGTCATCAACCAGAA